TGATTTACTATGAAAATAAAAACAGATTATTATTCAATTGATTAATTTAATCATTCTATCATTTGTGTTTTTTCATACATGCTTCTCGTAAACGACGTTCATGAGGAATAACACGATAACTAAATAAACAGGAAAAATAATCTATCAATTATAACAAATAACACATACTCAAAAAACCAGATTTCAACCCATGCCAAAATAAATGATACAATCAAAATACCATAATCAGTAAAACCTTTATCGGTTTTAGAAATCTATTTAAAGGAAATAGATTAAATGTTTATATGGATTTTTTTTTATTGACTTACTGTAAATACACATGTTTTAGCAATGATAAAACCAGTTGAACTAAGTGTTGTAAACTAAATAAAAATGATGAATACAAAGCAATAATTTTCTCAATTTTGTATTCATTCATTTAGTTCAATTACTTACAAGAGAAAGTCTTCAAGTGTGATCCTCCAATTGAACTGATATTATGCCCATAAGTAGGCCCTGACAAGATTAGTAGAAGCCTATAAGAGTTCGCCACCAGACGCTGTCCTACCCAAGTTATTACAATTTTACTACATTTTTTATCTCTAGCAATGTATCAATGAAAAAATCGAATAACGAAAGTTCATCCTGAAATCTTGTCCATAGGCAAATCTTGTCGACATTAGAATGTCCTGAATATTTCAGCCTCTAGAAGGATGTGTTATTCTTGAGATACCGAACATTGAAAACACGTGATTTTCTTATCTTTTCTTGTAGTACATGTTTGTTTTTGGACATCCAATATTTCAAGAAGAACACATATTTTTTAGGCTGAAATTTTTAGAGCATTCTAATGTTCACAAGACTTACCTCTAGATATAGTTTCAGTACAATTGTAGTAACTTGGGAACGACAATTTATGAGGACGAGCCTTTATAGACTTCTACTAATCTCATTAAGGCCTACTTATAGGCAAACTATTAGTTCAATTGGCGAGTCATACTCGAGTACCTACCCTCGTCAGACAAACAAAAATCTCTTTTTTTTTTATAAAATCCTTATTCAACTAAAACGACTATATGACATTTTGTATTTTATGACTAACTTGGTTTATTATAAAAATAAGAAATGGACGCATTCTAATTTTCTTTTTAATGCGCTTACTTACTTACAGCTACGAAAATCCAATGTGACCATTTTAGTATTGCGTACGATATCATTAATAAAATAAAACGAAGAGCCGATAGACCCTATAGAAAATAATAATTTATTTATCGATAAAGAAGGTCGTTTTATTATTATTTTTTTTTTCTAAACTTACAACAATATCAAATAGAGATGTTTTAATAGAATAATGAATAACTTCGTTAACAAAAGCTTGATCAACCGTTATATTTTTAATCTAAATATTTAAAATTAATATTAGACATACGCAATATATTCTAACAAACTTGATTATAGATAATCCATAGAAGTACCATAAATATAACATCGAATGTGACGATTAATAAAAATGTTCGACGTACTTGAAACATTCGTTTGTTTGTAATTGGTAAATGTTGATTTGGTGAGGCATTCAATGAAACACCTGTTGGTGTATTTGATGTATTTGATATTTGACTGTATAATAAAATTTAACAAAAAATAAAATAAAATCAAACATTTACATACGGTTGATAAAGATTTATTAATTGTCCATTTACTTGATTTAATGTGTGAGATCTACAATTTAAAAACAAAATAATAGAATTAAATTTCTAATTTCAAATTAAACAAATTCAATTTTTCGATGTAGCAGCAATCAAGTTTTTTAAATAACATACACTGATGTATCCGAATTAACACTTGTACGTCCGTTCAGCATTTTAATGGTTGTCTATAGGAAAGAAAAACATGTAACATACGATTATCATATCACCTGCATGACGTCATGGTGACTTTCAAAAACAAAAAAATAGAAAAACAAACACGAAAGATAAAAAAATATTTATTTATAAAATTCTTATATAAAAGATCCATGTTCTTGTGCAAAATTACTCATTAAATGATAAATTAAAAAATTTTGTTTTGTATATAATATATGTCTATTATAACTTCTTTGTTGAAATTCATTATTATTATTTAATGAATTTGTTAACGTAGATGATAATGATGCTGGTGATGATGTTAATGGTCGATCAATTTTATTTGATTGTTTATTGGATAATGATGAAAATGAAAAAATTGAATTTTTAAAATTTTTATTATGTGTTGAGTTTGTTGAATTTGATGATCTTTTACGATTAACATTTTTATTATCTTTAACATTTATTTCGAGTGTTGATTGTGCTTCTGTTTCAATAGTAAATGTCATTTGTTGATATGAAAATGAATATTCTTGTAATTTTGTTATACGATTTATTAAATGTACACCAACATCATTCACACATATAAATACACTGGTACGACGACCACGATATTCATGTTCACCTAAAAAAATTAAATTTTGAAATTAAAAAACAAACAAAAGAAACAGAAAATTTCATTTCATTTGTATTACCAGTAAAAAATGATGAACCATAACTAGTTAAATTTTGAGCTAAATTAAGAAATTGCATTTTTAAATAGAGTGATAATTGTGGACGATTTTGCATTGTTGTATCATCCATAAAAACTTCTTTATAACGTTTAAGAATTGTTCGCCGCCAATAAACAACACCGGCACGCTTTAATTTTTCAGCTGGTATTAATAAAGATAAATTATTAGAATCATTATGAAAAAAATGTTCCCATAATTTATCATCTAATTGTTTCTCATTAATTCCCATCATTAAAACAGCAAATTCAATAGCATCTTCATCTGTACATGGATAAAAAGCAAGTAAATAATTTTGATAGGCTTCAAGAAATAATAAATGTATAACATGTGGTATACGAAGACGCTGTTCAAATTCAATTTTAAGTAATGTATCACGTGACCACCATAATTGTGCTTCTTCAGAATTCGAATTTAATGTTGGAGATGATGATACTGATGGATTTCGAAGTGATGATTCATTTGGTATAGTTGTTAATTCACTTGCATAACGTTTCCAATTTAATAAAAATTGTACAGGTTTATGATCAGGATTTAATTGAATACGAACACTTTTAGAACAGATCCATATACCAAATACATTTGAAACTTCATCTGGTAAACGTAAACGTGTCATCATTTGTGCATGTAATTGACGAACAGTAGTTTCAGCTGGTCCTGAAACAAGATCAAGTTCAATAGTACTACCATCAGCAAGACAAATTTTGATTTTTTCAAGCTAAAATTATTCAAAAATAAAAATAAGAAATTTGAGAAGAAAATATCTTTTGATTAAATTACAGGTTTTTGAAGAAATTTTTCAATTAATTCTGTACATAATTGCCAATCACGATTTGGATTTTGTTGACAAAAATCAAGTGCTGTTTTTCCATCTTTATTTTTTGCATGCTAAACAGAAAAAAAATAAATACTCGAAATATTTACGATTTTGTTTTTAATTCATACCACATTAATATCAGGACAATCAAGTAGTATTCGTACAACTTCAGATTGACCACCTAAAGCTGCTAAATGTAATGGACTCATATGTGAATTATCAACAGCATTAACTGAAAATCGTTTTGAACGAAGTAATAATTCAACAATTCGATGATGACCATGCCTACGATAAATTTAGTTAAGTTCAATTTCAAAAAAAAAATGAATTCTATCTACCAAGCAGCATGATGAAGTGGTGACCATCGGTTCATATCATGTTCAAGTGTAACAGGAGAAAATTCTTGTAATAATCTTCCCACAACTTCAATTTGACCATTTTGACATGCTAAATGTAAAGGATATTCTTCAAGACTATTATTACGATATCTAGATAAACAATAAATATAAAAATTTCCATTCAATAAAATTATTGAAAGAAAAAAAAA